AAAAAAAAAAAAAAAAAAACCCCACTCTGGACGAGGTTGAAAAACCTGGGTACCGGTTGACTTTGGGAGGCGTCCTGATTGCCTCAATCCTGCCTCTGTCCCTCTGCAGAGCCTGTAAGCAAGTAGAAGAGAGAGAACCGCCGTTGGAATATCTTCGAGACTTGTATCCTCGCTTGACTTTCAACGCCTTTACCGTCTGCAGACGAACCTTTTTTTTGTTCGACAAAGGTAAGTCGGCTTGCATGACGAGCTGGACCAGGAATGCGCCTCTTCAGTTTCCTTGAGTGCAATCGATTCACACCGCACTAGCTGCCTTCTGTACCTGACACACAGGAATTGGCCGCGTTCCATTCAGACGTTGTCTGCGATCCGACATAGCTTCGTGAACGGGAAGACTCTTCTGGCCGCACACAGTCGAAGCGAAGCGAAGCACCGCGAAGAAACATCGTCTCCAAGCCGTCGCCCGCGGTCTGATACCTGTCAGGCTATACGGTCTTTCGCGTCTTAACTCAGCAACACGATTCAGTCCGTCTCGCCACCAGCTTCGTCAAGATACGCAAAGTCATCTTCTCGTAAGAGCTCAAAACAGGGCACTCGGCTCTTCCTCGTTGAACGCCATGGCGACTGTGAACGAAAAGCAAGCGATCCGGTCGCAACCTGATCCAACATCCCAGGATCCCGAGCAGGCCCAGACGCCATCTTTGACGGTCGAGCCATGGGAGCCGCGAGCATGGTGGAAAAGGGTCCCCTTCTTGAGCACTCGGGTGCGTCCTATCATCTCGGCGCTGGATCCCCAGCATCCTAACGCAAAGATGACTCCGGAAGCAACTGCCAACTGGTTCTCGCTCTGCTGCTTTGCCTGGATCGATCCCATCCTCACCGCGGGCTATACACGTCCTATGGAGAAAAACGACCTCTTTCTTCTTCCGCCGGACCGCTGCTCAGACCGCCTCGGCGCTCAGTTACTGACTGCACTCGACAAAAGGCAGAAGCAGAGACGCGCGGCAATCAGCGATGATCCGAAAAAGGAGGACAGGCCTGCCAAGATCCCGTCCTTGATGTGGGCCATGAATGACATCGTCTTTCGCTACTTTTGGATTGGAGGCTTGCTCAAGCTTCTCGCCGACATAGGCACCATCACAAGTCCACTGCTTCTTCGAGCGCTCATCAACTTCGGTCGAGACTCGTACAAGCTCAGAAACGATCAAGGCCAAGCCCCTCCCATTGGGCAGGGGGTGGGTCTTGCCATCGGCTTGTTCCTGGTTCAGGCCTTGTGCGTCTTTCTCAACGTTCACGCCTTCAATCGCGGCTTTGGCACGGGCATCATCCTGCGCGGAGCCCTCATCCAGGCCATCTTTCAGCGCGGCATGAATCTGTCGACACGAGCGAGAACCACAGGCGGTCTCGGAGTCAGCAAGCTCGTCACGCTCATCAGTGCGGACGCTACGCGTATCGACTATGCGGGTCAGTTCTTCCACATGGCCTGGACGAGCGCCGTGCAGATCGTCATCTGCATAGCTCTCCTCATTTGGAGTCTCAAGTACAGTGCGCTGCCTGGCATTGCCGTGCTGGTGCTTATGAGTCCAGTACAGACCGTCATCACCAAGCGGCTCTTTGCACTGCGCAAGAAGAGCATGGTGTGGACCGATAAGCGCAACAAGGCCGTCAACGAGGTTGTCGGAGGCATCCGCGTCGTCAAGCAGTTCGCGTGGGAACAGCCGTACTCGGATCGCGTCGCCGAGCTGCGCAAGAAAGAGATGGCTTTTCATCGCGTTCGGCTCTACCTGCGATCGCTCAACCTCGCTCTCGCCTTCGCTACGCCCACCATCGCCACTGTGCTCAGCTTCGTCACCTATGCTCTTGTGGGAAACGAGCTGGATGCTGCAATCCTGTTTTCCTCGCTCTCGTTCTTCACCCTGCTTCGCACTCCTCTGCAATTCTTGCCCATCGCATGGAACGCCGTCGTTGATGCCAAGAATGCGGCTGATCGTATCGAAAAGGTATTTGACGCCGAAATACAGCATGATCAGATTGTTCGCGATCCTGCCGCCGAGGATGCCATCAAGCTTCAAGATGCTAGCTTCACTTGGGAGACGACACCATCCGCGTCCACGACAGAGACGGTGGCGACGCTCAATGCACTTAACTTGACAGTCCCGCGTGGAGCGCTCTGCGCCGTCGTCGGCGGTGTCGGTAGCGGCAAGAGCTCCCTTGTTTCTGCGCTAGCCGGCGAGATGCGCCAGACGCAAGGCAAAGTGACACTCGCTTCTTCGACAGCCGTCTGTGCACAGACTGCATGGATCCAGAGCACCACGATTCGCAACAACATTGTCTTTGGCAACGTCTTTGATCCAGAACGCTACCGATACGTTCTCGACAAGTGCTGTCTTCTTCCAGATCTTGCCACGCTCGCCGAAGGAGATCAGACTATCGTAGGCGAGAAGGGCGTGTCGCTATCTGGAGGCCAGAAGCAGCGTCTCAACATTGCACGCGCGCTCTACCACAACAGCGAGATTGTGCTCCTGGACGATTGCCTTTCCGCGCTAGACGCGCGCGTGGGAGCCGACATCTTAGCCAACGTCATCGCTGGCCCTGCAATGCAGGGAAAAACACGCCTGCTGGTAACGCATTCACTCAACGTCCTGCGTTCTTGTGACTGGATCGTGTACATGGACAACGGTCGCATTGCAGAGCAAGGTACCTACGACGAGCTTGTCGCAAGCAAGAGCCGTGTGGCTGAACTTGTTTTGAAGCACACGAAAGATCAGAAAGACCAATCCAAAGACGAAGTCGGCGAGNACCTACGACGAGCTTGTCGCAAGCAAGAGCCGTGTGGCTGAACTTGTTTTGAAGCACACGAAAGATCAGAAAGACCAATCCAAAGACGAAGTCGGCGAGTCATCCGAGGGCGATCCGGACGCAAGGGCAGGATCGATCCTCGGATCGCACCCGGAAGACAATCTGGCACGGCTTCGCAAGGACGGCGGTGCATCTTCAATCAGCTCCACAGTCACCATGGAGGACGATCGCAAGCCCGACCTGTCCTCTGATCGGTCGGACAAAGAGGTGGAGAAAAAGAAGGAAAAGGAGGTCAAAAGCAAAGCGTTGATGCAGGACGAAGAGCGATCGAGTGGATCCGTCTCGAGGGCCACCTATCTGTCGTACCTCAATGCTGCGCCTCTTTCTGTCCTTTTGCCCCTCTTTGTGCTGGCAGTGCTGGTGTTTCAAGGCTCCACGATCATGTCCCCTGTGTGGCTAATGTGGTGGCAAAGGGGTACGTTCGGCCTGCAGCAAGGCGTCTATATGGGAGTGTACGCCATCTTCGGCATCACTCAGTCACTCGGACTGCTCAGCATGGGCATCATCTTTTCGACCTTCACCATCAAGTCGGCGACCACGCTGCACCATCGAGCCCTCCAACGCGTGCTGCACGCTCCATTCTCGTTCTTCGACACGACACCACAGGGACGCATCACGCATCGCTTCAGCAAGGACATGGATACGCTCGACAACATCATTGGCGAAGCGATGCGCACGCTCATCGGCACGGTTGTACAGGTGGTTGGATCGATCGTCTTGATCGCCATCCTGACCCCTTATTTCTTGATCCCGGTTGCTGTGATTTTGGTGCTGTACTTCTGGATCGCGGCCTACTATCGCTCGACGGCTCGTGAGCTGCGCC